CAACGTGGCATCGATTTCTGAGGTCCGAGTTTGAGACCTTGTCCTGCCAGTTTACTTTCAAGATGAGCCGAAGACACCAGTGACCTTCAATCGTCGGGTGTCTTCAGCTCTCAGCGGCCAGGTATCGTAGTCTTATAGTAGGACTGGTCGGACTGCTGTGGTAAACACCCTGATATTGGTTTTGAGGCTGATCTCGTTCCGGTGCCATAGGGTGGTTCGGAGCTGCAGAAACGCCATTTGGGCCGTGTCGATGCGCCGCTTTACATCATCTTTGGCTTGTCCATTGGGTAGGATGGTGGACCCAAGGTACTTGAAGTCCGATGCGATTTCTATTCTGTAGCTCCATTGTTTAGTATCAGAGGTTCACACTCTCCTCGATACCACACTGATTATTTGGGGTTGAAAAGGACTGGACAGATGGAAAAGATGGGTTTCCAAATGAGTACCTAAGACTTTAGGACACGGCGTACTTCGCAGTAACCCACACCGACGAAGGGGTTTTTCTTTGGGAACCCAAACCGGAGCCTTTGACCCGCAAGGCGGTGGGGCGTAAATCCAACGTGGGAGCGTAAACGGAGCACCCGTGTGGGAGTTTCTAGAGACCTGTCAAGCAAAGCCTTCGGGTTTCGGTTCAGCGTTTTGTTCGCTGGTTTGCTTTTCGGGATCAGCCCTTAGCCTCATGCACCCAATGAGACAAGCGGAGCGTGGACGGGACAGCACTTTATTGGCTGGGAGCTGTCTAGCTTGGTCGGGCGAAGACTTCTCCCACCGTCGTGAGGAAACAACCGATACCCCGCTTCTGCGTCCATCTAGCGGGTTTTTTTGTCAGGTAAACTGCCCCCTCACCGTGTTTATTTTCTGGAGTGGCCTGTCCAGGGGCGGGTGTGGATAAAAGAAGAAAGCCAGGTACCCAAGCAGCTGGCTTTGTGCGATTGACCTTCGTTTGGCCTCTACCCATTGACCTTTCAGGCATGATTGGATCTACGGGTGTGAAAAGCCACCCTGTGTAGCTGGCATGGTCATGGAGGCACGCAAGCCATCACACCACGATAAGGTGCAGTCTCGTCGTGATGAACTGCCGCTTCCACTGGTTAATACCCGTGGACACGGACCATGCTCTGCTACGAACGCGATTCTCCCTAC